TGCTACACCAGATGAAAGCTTTATTCACACCCCCAACCCCCAGCAATTCCTGCTCATGTCAGGAAGGGAAGGAGGTGTGAGCCGATTATGGATGTTGAGTAAACAGTTGTGAAAGCTCGTGCACCGGCAGAGAAGAGGGCAACTCTTTTATTTCTCCCCACAGCTTCACTCATTTGATCAAATAGTTGTCCATGCTCCGCGCTACTAGTTAATGGCACTTTCAAGTACTATTTACTCCCGCTAGAAAATAATGTATTAACAACACGGATTGCCCAGTATGACTTAGAACACAACTTACTTTTTTTTTTTTTTAAGATTTTATTTATTTTTTCATGAGAGACAGGGAGAGAGGCAGAGACACAGGCAGAGGGAGAAGCAGGCTCCCTGCAGGGACCCCGGGATCACTTGGGTCAAAGGCAGACACTCAGCCACTGAACCTCCCAGGTGTTCTAATACATACAACTTTCTATCAGTATATTGTTCTTACCGGACGCGGAAAGTTCAAAATCGAAAGTTTCTATCCACTTGGCATCCTGGGGTTCAAGGGCGTCGGATTCTCTTGGGCACGTTCATTCCTGTCCGTCACTGGCTCAAGGATGTCAATTCTCAGATGCTCTGGTTTCACTTCATCAGGTGCTTGGCAGCTTTCTGCAATTCCCCCCTGGCCCCTTCTGACCTCCCTGAAGCGCAGAGGGACAGTCACGGTCTGGGACGGTCCCGACGGCAGGTGGCAGGACACCAAGACTGGGACACAGACACAGGACAAAGGATGCCAAACCCCACCTCCTTGTTAGTGGCAGCTGTGGCCGCAGCTTCTCACATGTCCTGCCTGGGCAGCCCTGGCCCAGCCTTGGGTCAATGGATTTGATACCTAAAGTGGGAAATAGCCGCACTCAAGACGGTGACGTGCGACATGGGGCTTCTTTACCTGCACCAGGACAGTGCCCCACAGTCAGATATTTTATGCTGAGCCACCACCCCTCCACCCAACTCAGATTTCTCCCTACTGAGTCTGCGAAAACCACTTGGGCCTCTCCCTTGCAGGCCCTCCGCTGAGGGAGGTGGTTTGGCAAAATCTCGTCTGCATATGAGTTTAGGATTTTCTACTTGGAGATGAACTGATGGGGCTTTTTCAAGGCTGTGGGACGATGGCCACCATGAGTAGCCGGCCTTGGCTTTAGGAGCCAGCTTTGATCCCTAAGAGGACCCAGGGAAGTTGTCCATAACTACTCTGAACTAGTTGTATGGATCCCTTCCCTACACGCTGAGGTCCTTGTGAGAGGTCTGGGTGACCTCCAAGGCTCTGGAAAAATGAAGGACTCAAGCGGGAAATAGCTCTGACTGCCCGGCCGGGGATTACGCCCAGCCAGCAGCCTTGAACTCGGGGTAGAAATCCTTAGGACAGGAAGCAGCAAAGCAGAGGAGTGCTCTGTGCTCGCCACCCACTCTGCCCACCCTAGTGGAGAAGAGTTTGAGCTTCACGCAGCCTATAAACTCCCAAGTGAGGCTAAATTCTCAGGGAGTTCCTGAGGCCTGGAAGGGAGCTGAGCTGACCAGGGCCACCCCCGCAAACTCAAATGTATGTGAAAGTCGTCCACGTCTTCAGTGGGGTAGGAGCAGGAGAACACAGCTGGCAGCAGGCAGGCCCGGGCGGTCCCCTGACCTGGCTCCGGGTGGGCGCTCCCGGGGCTTCTGGTAGACCGCCCGACTCCCCGACTGGCCACGGCCACTCCCCGACTGGCCACGGCCACGGGGCTACTCTCTTGCCTCCTGCCTGCACCAGCCTGTCCACAGCCACGCCTACCATCAACGGCTCACACACTCCCGTCGGGGGCTTCCTCTCGGTTTGGGGGGAGATCTGGAATGCACGTGGATACAAGGCCTGCTTTCTTTTTAAAATCTGCTCCCCACGAGTTGCCAGGGTTCCAAAAGTAGGGCCGTAGGCAATCACATTTGCCCCCCACCCCGTGTGTGCTTCACATGCATGGTTTCATTTAATCCTCAGAATAATCCTGCCAGTGAGGTATTACTATCTACTATCCCTAATTTTGGATGAGGACAGAGATGCAGGATGGCGGGGGGCAGAGGGGGGTTGTCTTACTTAAGATGACAATTTATAGAGGGCAAGGATGGGATCCAATCGCGGAGATCTGACTCCACAGCAGTGGTGCTTGGGGGTGTGGGGGGAAGGGGAGCAGAAGGAAGGGTCCACCTGGAGAAAGTGGAGAGAAATTTTAAAAAATAATAAAACCAGGGCGCCAGGGGGTGGGGGTGGTGCATATTTGGTTAAACGTCTGACTCTTGGTTTCGGCTCAGGTGGTGATCTCAGGGTTGTGGGATCGAGCCCACTTTGGGCTTCAAGCTGGGCATGAAGCCTGCCTGGGATTCTCTCTCCCTCTCCCTCTGCCTCCCCCACCCACGTTAGTTCTCTAAAATCTTAATAATAATAATAAAACCAATGACAAGTCAGATGGCTTATCAACACGTATGAGCAATTTTAAATAATGCAGTGAGGAAATATTTTTCCTCCCGTGGGTGAGCACCTTAGGAGGCTGATGCCGCCCTAGTCATATATGTGGTGCCTGACACGGGAGCGGCCAGGGCACAACTCTTGAGAGGAGTTCCACTAGAACGCTGAGGGTGGCAGGACAAAAAGGCGGTAAGAACCTGGTTTTCATTGTGACAAAATATACATAAAATTTACCATTTTAACCATACAACTCAGTGGCTGTAAGTACATTCACAATGTTGTACAACCATCATCACCATCCATTTCCAGAACCTTTTCATCATCCCAACAAAAGCACGGTACCCATGAAACATGGCTCCCTGTTCTTCCCTCCCTCCCACCCCGTGGTCACCTCTGCTCTTCCTGTCACCATGATTTTGCCTGTTCTAAGTACCTCATGGTACAAACCTATACTATGTTTGGCTTTTGTGTCTGGCTTCTTTTTTCCACTCCACATTTTCAAGTTCATCTAATGTTGGAGCACGTATCGGAATTTTATTTCTTTTTAAGGTAGAGTGCTATTGCATTGTTTAGAAGACCTTGGGATTTTTAAGGACACCCTGGAGATACCGTATCTTAGGGGACCTCTTGTTAGAGAAGCTTACCTTATGGTATAGGTCATGTGGCACTGGGTTTTGTTTCTTGTGGCCAGAAGAATCCTAACTGATCTATAAGGCACAACTCAAGCACTTCTGTGGGCCTCAGGGTGGGCGATGAGGCCCAGAGAGGACCCAACATAAAAGCTCTCCAGTATGTGGCAAAATGTTACGGAAATTCCCTGTGTGTATAAGTCTAATCTATACATACCTGTACACACACACACACACACACAAACATATGACTAAGGCCACACCTTTACTTCTTACCATCCTCAGTTATTTTGATAATTCTTTTCACAGCTGTTAATGTCAACACAGTTATTCAGTATGTGACATTTTTCATCATCACAAAAAATATATTTAACTCCAGATTGAATGAGAGATGTTGTGCCTGGTGCTCTATGGAGTACAGATTAATGCCTTTTTTCAAAATACTTTTCCACAATCTTCCCTAGAGTTGGAAATAATCAAGTGTAGTCAAGGGTAACAAATAAAAAGATTTATAAAAAAAAAAAAAAAAAAACAAAAAAAAAACCCACCATCCAGCATCAGTAGCTCCCACTTTGGTAGTAAGCATGAAGGGTGGGTTAATGTTTTTTAACTATATGAAATTGGAGATATATATATATGTGTGTGTGTGTGTGTGTGTGTGTGTATAAAGAAAAGTGAGTAGGAAGCTACTATGATAGAGACTTTAAGTAAAGAGAATGTTATTGTGCAATGAAAAAGTCTCTTCTTCAGTAAGTACTAGTAAGAGGTTTGATTTACTTGCAGGATTGCAGAAGTTCCTCATGGAACATTTGGTCATGGCTATGAAGAGGTGGATGCAGAAAGAAGAGAGCAGACACTAGGAATAGGAAGAGACACGGAGAAGTGAGGATAAGGAGAAAGAAAAACCAAGCAGAGCGACTTTGCTCAATGGTCCTTACAAAAAAAACGTATTTTAAAAGAATCTGAGTAAGCAAGTGCTGTAATTCTTTTGTGACTATGAGTGTAACGGATACCACTAGAAATCAATTATGCTGTCAACGCATTCGAATATCCTTCCACTCTGAGCCTGTCCAAAGCCTCCTGCAACTTATGACACATCACATTACAAAACTGTTGTGTTTTGTTTTTGTTTGTACCCTTTTCTGGTTCCTGGTTGTTCACATTCTGAGAGAGGACAAAGGCCCTTAGAAATCCATCAATTCAACCCTTTCATCTCACAGATAAAGGAGGGGAAGATCACACTCAGCCTTGGTGACAGAGATGGGACTGGAACCGGGTCTCCCGATCCCCCAGTGGGTGCTTTCCTCACTACAACATGACGTGATTCACACTCCATCCATCCCCAGTCTGTACCCCATGGGCTCTCCTTCAACCCCAGCCAGGGCAGGAGAGCATGAGGGAAAGCAATGGGGCTTTGTGGGCCTCTCTGGTGTGCTGTGAGTGTGGGACCCAGAAGAGGAGGTGACAAAATGCATCTTCCACTTCCATCCTAAGTCTACAAATAATCTACCCCCCCCCCGCCACACACACACACACACACACACACACACACACACACACACACGGCCAAGCTACTCCTATCACCAGCTGAGAAATACCTCCGGTGTAGAGCGCTGTGAGGAGAGGAATTTTTAAAGGCTGCCATAAGAGGGATGGAGGAGAATGTGTGGCCAGGGACACATACACCTTTCAGAAGCCCTGCACACAGAGCCCTGGCTACAGATGACCTAACAAGAGCTTCAGGCTCCAGGGGACCTCACGACATGGCTCCCCGGAGTCCCTAACCACAATGCCATTGAACAGGTGGCTCATCAGTGGTAGGCACTGTCCCCAAATACTCAAATTCCAGCATAAAGCCACACAACAGTTGATTGGATTCCCACCCCACCCCCCCTGCCCATTCTCACATCTGCTCATAATTTCACAGTTATCATTGCTCAGCATTCTAAATGTTCCCGGCTGGCCCTCTGTGCTTCTGGGGGGACAATGCCAGTTGTGCTCTACTATGACATTTCTGAGAGGCGCCTCCAGAGGAAGGGAGGTCAGATCCTCCAGGGACATTTCCTCCTGCGTGTCCTCTGAGAACCCAATGAAAGTGTCGTATTTTTAAAACGTCTCTCAGAAGTCTGTGTTCAAGGACTGGTGCAGGGAATGTGAACTACAGATACGCCGCCTAAAATTCACAGGCCAGGCAAACTGGGAGAGGAACGTTCTCGAAAGCCGGACAATCTCAAGTTTAACACGACATCAAAAAGTCTCAGTCTATGCAGTGTGCTACAGAATCAATCAAATCTTTGTCATGCTCCCAGGCTTCTGTCAAACCCTGCCACACTCCGTGAGGCAGCCGTGGGTGGTGGGCTCCCTCTCAGGAGACGAAGTGCCTCTGGACAGAACTCCTGGCCTCTCTCCACACAGACTGCTGGATCTTATACACAGACTCCTGGAAGATCCTTTCCACCTGGGTAGGGAAGCCCCGGCTGTCTTCCTCCAGGGCATTGATGGTTCGCAGGGCAAAGGGGGTCCGCTCCCGGGGCAGGGGCTTGTTGAGAGGCCGCATGGGGATGACGGAATTGTATTTGTGCTGCCTGTTAACGGAGTTCATCAGCGACGTGTAAAACTGGAACTTACACCACGTGTCTCGCAGGAAGTTCTCGGTCAGCAGCAGGATGGTCCACGCGGACCCGTTGACCGCGTCATCCAGGTTCTGTAGGTGCTGCCGGCCACACGGCATCTCAGCAAAGATGATGCCGGGCCGGATGCCAAAGTCATTCTGCAGCAGACTCTGGACCCTGAGGGCTTCGTCTGTGTCATCCTCTGCGTGCAGTATCACAAACTTGAGGAACACCTCTTCCTCTTCCTCTTCCTCCCCTGGCGTCGTCTCTCCCAGGCCCATCGCTGCCTCGCACTGGCCTGCAGGTCGCAGCGTCGTGGGGCCAGACTCCGGCAGAGCACGCAGGGACAGGTCTTCAGGTCTCTTGGAATCGGACTCAGGACGACTCTGACGCACCTCCACACCGGGGCTTTGACCCCAGGAGACAGAGAGTGGGCGGGGATCTATTTTCGACTTCCTGACACCCATCGTAAATCTCCCGGTCAGAAATGGAGAGCGCTCCTTCTTTCTCGACACTTGTTTTCATTCTACAAAGAGAAAAAATAACAAGGCAGACACATGTTGTGAATGTCATCCAAACATTAAGAACGGAAAATACGGAGTGCCTGGGTGGCTCAGTGGTGGAGGGTCTGCCTTCGGCCCAGGGCGTGATCCCCAGGGATCAAGTCCCACGTCGGGCTCCCCACGGGGAACCTGCTTCTCCTTCTGCCTGTTTCTGCCTCTCTCTCTCTCTCTGCCTCATGAATAAATAAATAAAATGTTTTTAAAAATAAATAAAAATGGAAGATACTTTTTTCACTCAACCTGAAAACCTCAAAGAGATTGTAACATACAGGTTCTCAGGAGGAAATGCCAGTTGGATCTTGGGGAAGGGAAATCCCTCGTCTTCTGGGAGCTTCACAAGGACTACCATGGGGAATCAAGGCGGGGACAGAGTCAGTTTAACGTAACGGGAGACATTTGGAAATCTTACGCAGTATGCTAGCACTGTAAACTTCCAGAATAAAGTCAACTGCTCTGGTATTTTAGTGAGAGGGTACCATGCCAGTCTATCCATATGGAGCTAAAATCCAACTTCTTCATTATCGAGTTATTGTGTAAACTATAAACAGCAAAAACGAGAGCAACAGAATACTCAAATATTAAATACAAAACTTATTTTTATATCAAACACAAATACAAAACAGAACACAAATACAGAGAAGACTAGCTGGCAGCTCTGCTAAGTCAGCACAACGGAAGATCAGAAACGTCGAATGAAATGATGCCCAGAGTTCACCGGCTGGGAGCTCTTCTGCCTTGCGGGGGTCAGGCCCTGGCAGGGGCTGGCAGGGCAATTATGATAAGGGTTGTGAATAGTAAGGAATACCTTTTTCTAGGTAATCCTGGGAATGCTTCAGAAAACTGAGGATTCACTTCAGGAAAAATTAACATTGTGGTTTGGGAATAAAATCTGGAAACAAAGGCTAGTGATCTTCACCAGAGAAATCAACAAAGAATCATTATAGCCCATCCTCATGCTGTTATTTTCTTCACTTATTTATTCATTTTTATTTTGAGAGAGAGAGAGAGAAAGAGAGAGAGAATGAGCGGGGAGGGGCAGAAGGAGAGAAAGAATCCCATGTCTGGTCCACACTGAGTGGGGCTCAATCTCATGACCTAAGATCATGACCTGAGCCAAAAATCAAGAGTCAGACGCCCCTCGTTCTGTTATCTTAAAAATTCTAAAGTCAGAGTGGAAGAATTACATCAGGTATGAAAGAAAAGTGCTTCATGCGAAACTAGTTTAAACAAATCTTCAGATAATGTTGGCAATGGTGTTAATAGAACCCCTATATAGGCAGTTTCAAGAGGGATTCTTTTATCAGAAGATTATTTTCTTTAAAAAAGGCTCTATTCCAGAGCTTTTAAATTTATTTTCATGAAGAAAGACCAGAGTTCAAGAATTTAATTAGGCTTAAAATCATAATAAGATAAATAACATAGCTCACATATACCAAAATAATTCAAGGTTAGAAGAAACCGTTGAGCAAAAATGATGAAAAACTGATGGGAAGAAAAGATAAGTTAAAACACAGAGAATTTCTTTCTAGAGTATCTAAAGAGCGAAAAGATTTGCTCCTGCCTCTGAGCAGTGAGGGACTTGCTAGCTACTACTTGTCATTTATGATGTCAACTTTAGGTTCTAATCCACAGTATATGCTGACACCTACCAAGATGTACATTAAGGCATAATTCTAAAATGCTAATACATCCACCTCAAATAACAAAGCTGAATGAACTTGGGTTCTCTTCACTGGTTAGTATTCACTGCAGACTGTGTTGTGGTGTTACGGGAAAAGGTGCTACTCTGCAAAGCTGCAGAAAGAAGCTTCTCCTGTATGTATATTAAAAAAACAATTTTTGAGTGATGTATAGAATTGTTGAATTGCTTTATAGTATGTATGAAACTAACGCAACGCTGTATGTTAACTATATTACACTTCCAAAGAACACTGTTAAAGCATTCAGAACAATCTATTTATAGCATCCTTTCAAGTGATCTTCACTTGGTTGGTTAAACCAACTTAACACCATTACCTTAACCACTGGCTGCTGCAGGAAGTACACTTGGATTTACAGAACAGATACTCATAGTGTCCCAAACTACTAGGGTAAAATGCTCTGTCAAGCCAGACTGATGAAATCTCTTGACGTGAATATAGATAAATAACAAAAGAATAGAACTGCAACTTTATGTCACATTTTTCTTAAATACGGGTCAGCAAAAAAGAGCAAAAGCCTCCAGAAGTCTATGATGTGCCGTTCCAACTCCTGAGCCCTCCTACTCAGCCCCACCCTGAGCAGCCCAAAGGGAATAAAGTGAGCCACAGTGTCTGGAAACTTCACTATAACCTTCTAATTTGGAGGGAGGGAGTTAGGGAGGCGGCGGCCAAGGGGAAGAGACACAGAAAGCTGTGTGCTGGAGGCTGGCCTCTCCTACCACTGCAGGGGTTCCTAGAGGGGCAAAAGGTCTCTATCCAGGGCTGTGGATGCTTCAGGAGGGAAGGACCAGAGAGAACATGACCAGAACTGCGCCCCCAGGGCTGCTGACTCCATCCACCAGGGGGCTTTCCCACAACACTAGCTAGGCATGGAAGGCTGAAGAAGCCCAGGAAGCCTTTGGAAGGTCCCCTCCCCATCAGGGACAGGCAGATGCAGGGTGAAAGCACCTTCTTCCCTTCCATGAAATGGGACAAGACGGAAGGTGGCAGCTGGGGAGAGGCACGTGAAATCATTGGTCACAGGAACATCTCTGCATACATTTTTTTTTTCATTTGCTTTTAAAGAAAAGGTAGTGGCTGAGATAACTAATGACCTTGAAAATGGTTATGGTGCAGGGCGGCCCAGGTGGCTCAGCGGTTTAGCGTCGCCTTCGGCCCGGGATGTGATCCTGGGGATCCGGGATCAAGTCCCACGTCAGGATCCCTGCATGGAGCCTGCTTCTCCCTCTGCCTGTGTCTCTGCCTCTCTCTCTGTCTCCCATGAATAAATAAATTTTAAAAATCTTAAAAAAAAAAAAGAAAATGGTTATGGTGTAAATTCTCACTTTCATCCCCAGAGTCCTCCCCATCCATCCAGCTCCCTCCACGGCCTCCTACAGGTGACTGCTTTCATCAGTTTTTCCTATGTCCTTCCACTGTTTCTTTATGAATATATATTCTTTTTTTCTTTCCTGATCACAGAAAAGTATCATTATTTATATATACATATGTAAAATACACACATCCACTGCAAAACAGCAGTAGCCAGAGATCCAGCACTTTCCCCAGTAGCATGTAACTTCCTCCCTGCTCTTTATAACAAAATCTTCCACCACGTGGTTGTGCCATAATTGTTTCCTATTCTCGGGTGTGTGAGTTGTTTCCAGTCTACTACTTTTAGGAGCAAAGCAACAGAGAACAGCTTTGTATAAAAGTAACTTCACAAGTGTACAGGTTCGTCTGCAGAATAATTTCCCCAAATGGGATTTCTGTATCAAAGGACAAATGCATTTGTAATAATGATAGATGTGGCCAAGTTACTTTCTGTAAGACTGAAACTTTTTTGTGCATGTGCTATTAACTTGAAGGAGTGACAGCCCTACCTCCACCTCTTGTCCCAGAAAAGATCTAAAACGGAAGCTACTGATTGCCACCACTGCCGACAGCCCCCACTGAGCTAATGACATCCCCTCATGGCAATAATTATGTGGGGAAACTCAGCCCATCAGAATGGAGCCCTTGAGCTGAAGTTCTGAAAGGAATATCAACAGGTCCTAGATAAGAAGAAAAGAGGGTCCAGAATGCACCCACCTTTCATCTAGTGAAAGAGGATCCCCAATAGGATTCCCCATATAAACAGGAGTAGGGCGAAAAGAACAGCATAACAAATGTGAATTCTTGGCAAGCAGGCACACAGAATGCAAGAAATAAAAACAAGTATTAAGAAGAATAATAGGCAAAAGACAATTTCATTTTTGTTATGACTATGTGGTCTGGTGGCATCTGGGTGGCATAATTGGTTAAGTGGCTGGCTCTTGGTTTTGATTCAGGTCATGATCCCAGGTACCTGAGATCAAACCCCACGTCGGGCTCCCTACTGAGCAGGGAGTCTACTTGACATTCTCTCTCTCCCTCTCCTTCTGCCCCTTCCGCTCATGTTCTTTCTAAAATAAATGAAGAAATCCTTAAAAAATAAAAATAAAAAACTATGTGCTCTGGAATCTGACTGCCTGAACCTAAATCCCAATGCCTGGCTAGAAAAATACTGCGTGACTTGGTCCAAGTTACTAGGTATCTTTCTGCTTTAATTTCATCATGTGTAAAGTGGTGATAATTATAGTACCTTCCCTGAGGATTTTTATGAGGATCAAAATGGCTGAGAACAGTTCTCCACACATGTTAGCAGCTGTTATGGTTATTACATACCTAGCCAAGGAGCTAAAGAAAAATTTCCCCAACCAGCTCTAGGATGGGGCTATTCCAAGTGTGGTCTACAGACAAGCTGCCAGTCTCTGAGCCATCTGGTGCTGGTCCAGGACAAGATGGGTGGGGAAACTGTGCCAGGATGTGAACTGATCATATCAGGTAAGTATGCTTTTCAGCTCAGCTGACGTTTTTCTCATAGCAAGACATTTTCTTTCTTTTCTTTCTTTCTTTCTTCCCCCCTTTTTTTTTTTTTGTAAGATTTTAAGTCATCTCCATACCCAATTTAGGGTTTGAACTCATGACCCTGAGATTAAGAGTCACATGTTCTTTCAACCAAGCCAGCCAGGTGTGTCCCTGCAGGACATTTCTGATGAAGGAAGTCAAATGGTTTACCTTCAGTGCACCCTTCTTTTATTATCATGTAGAGAGTGGCACTGTCCTAGGATGCACTAAAGAGAATGCTTAACCAAAGAAAAATATCAAAGCTGGAAGAACAGAATTACCTGAAAAGAGAGACTGCAGAAGAATCAAGGGTCCAACGCCATTAGGGAAAAAACAGAAAAGGCAACCAATGGAATAAACATTATCGAAACCAAATCAGATGAACATGGTGGAATGGCCTGAAAAAAAAAAAAAATCAGGGTAGCCCAGGTGGCTCAGCGGTTTAGCGTCGCCTTTAGCCCAGGGCATGATCCTAGAGACCCAGAATCGAGTCCTACGTCGGGCTCCCTGCAGGGAGCCTGCTTCTCCCTCTGCCTGTGGCTCTGCCTCTCTCTGTCTCTCATGAATAAATAAAGTCTGAAAAAAAAATCAGAGGATGTGGAATGGAAAAAGGCCACAAGAGTAAAGTGATTTGAAGAAAAAAAAAAAAAACATAGCTATGGAGATTGGGGAAAAAAAAGCAGAGTAAAAACCAATGCATTTGAAATAGAAAATTCGATGAATGTAACACAAAATTCAAAGATAGAACAGATTTACCACCCTCAATCAAATGCTAAGCTTTACCGATCACAACCAGACATACTGTGCCTTCTGATGTAATTCAGTATGATGTATCATCATGTGTCAAGCAGTCTTGCCAAAAATGTTTAGCCCGACTCTGACCAGGTCTTTAGATACAATTACCAGGTTACAGTAATGAGGAGGATGTGAGACATGTCCACCAAGAGGGGAATGGAGAAAAAAAGTTTGATGTCCATGGAATACCACTCGGCACTGGAGTGAGCTGCTGATAAATGCACTCATGTGGATGAATCTCAAACTCATTATGTTGTATGAGGGAAGCCAGACCCCCAAAAAAGTACAGATTTTGATTCCATTTATATCAAAATCCAGAAATGGAAATTGATTTACAGAGACAGAGAGCATTCCTTCAGACGTGCTCAGAGGCAGCTTTATCACCCTTCTTTTTCGTAGCATTTCTTTCTTGTCCACACGGCATTTTTGAGAAACAGTTTGCCCTTTATTTTTAAAAATCTGTTGTACTTACAGAGCTATGTTCTAGACCGTTATGACTTCTAAGATTTAGGCTGCTTTCTCACAAGACTTGGGTCTATCCCTTGAGGACTACTGGGTGAGGATTTATAATTTGATGATGCGCCGAGGCTGAATCTACAAAACACAAACAAGGGCACTTGGCTGGCTGAGTTGCTGGAGCACGGGACTCGAACTCCGGGTCAGGAGTTCGAGTTCCTTGTGCGGCATAGAACTTACTAAAAAATAATAAATTCCCAAAGAAGATGCCTCTTGTTCTTTTTTTAAAAGCTATTTTATTTCAGAGACCATGTGCACGTGTGTGCATCAACAGGGGGCGGGGCAGAGGGAGAAGCAGACTCCCCGTTGGGCAGGGGGTCTGATGTGGGGCTCAATCCCAAGATTCTGGGATCAAGACCTGAGCCAAAGGCAGATGCTTAACCGACTGAGCCACCAGGTGCCCCTGGATGCCTTTTGTTCTTAAGAGAGAAATAAAAGCATCCAGCCTGGTAAACAGTACTAGAAAGGTACTGTCTTAAAAAAAAAAAAAAAAAAAGGTACTGTCTGCTTTCATTCATTCAACAAATATTAGGTTAACTCTTTATGACATTTTAGAAGCTGAAGTTCAGCAGTAAACAAAGCAGAAAATAACTATGCTCTCATTGAGCTTAAATTCTGGTAGGAGGAGATAGATAATAAAAAGAGAGAAATATGTGTATCGTATAACAAAGTATAAAATACTCTATAAATACGCACTCATATAGTATACAAGGAGATGGTAAGTGTTAGGGAAAAAAAGATAAAGAAGAAGCTACTAAGGACTGTTGGAAGAAGTTTTATTTGTTTTTAAATGCATTTGTCAGGGAACAAGGGACGTCATCTAAATAAAGACATGGGTGAGGGAAGTGATCTGTGCAAGTGTCTGCAGGGAGGTCTCTGGCCCAGAGACAGGAGAGTGCTAAGGCCTGATGAACAATGGAGGCGGGGGGGGGGGGGGGTTCAGTGGGGCTGATGAGCAAGGCATCAAGAAGGAGATGCCAGGAGGAGGTTTTGAGCAGAGAGATGACAAGAGAGGACTCATCTTTCATAGGACCATTGTGTCATGTTGAGAACAGAACGAAAAGAAGCAAGAACACCAGTGAGGAGGCTGCTGCAAGAGCCAGGAGGATCATGGTGAGTGGTGGCCTGGGCCAGGGCACAGTGAAAGTGGTGACAAGTGGCTGGATCTGGGGTGTATTCTGGAGCAGAAGTGATAGGATTTACTCACGATGCCGGGTAGGCAAAGAATACAGGAGTCTCGGGGGGTTGGCGGGGAGGTCCAGCCAGGAGATGTGTACTTGGCTTTTATCAGTGTCTAGGCTGTATTTCAAACCTGAAGACTTTTTAAACCTGAAGATCGTTAAGGGAATAAGTATAAATAGAAAAAGGAAGTGGTCCAGGGGCTGAGCCCTAGGGCTCCCCCAACACTATAAGGTCAAGAACTGAAAAAAACAACAATAAAGATAGAAAGTAAGTGGTTAGGAGGGTCAGAGGACCACCAGGAGTGTGATGCTACCAAAGACACTAAATGAAGGCATCAGTTCAAGGGAAAGCGAGTGTGTGGTTGTCTTCCAGGGCTTCCAGATGCAAAACGGGCCCAGCTGCCAAAGGAGCTGTGGATGTAGGATATGGACTTAGGGAAGTGCAGCTTTGGAGGACTGGTGCCAAACGGGAGGGAAGGGGGAAAACCTCATTACATGGACTTCAAAAGAAAAGAAAAGAAATTCGAGACTGAGTATAGAAACTGACTTGGAAATATTTTGCCATTGAGGGAGAGAAACTCTTACCAAACAGGTAAAAGTTTGGGGGAAGTCTAGTACCCTAAGAGGACTCGCTATAAAGAAGACTGTTGGCGAAGGACAAGGAGCTCATGGAGAGAACAGTTCAGGGATGTTGGAGAAGGATGAGGACTGCTGAAGGGATGACCCAGGTAGGCAAGGGGTCAGGGGTGGGATCCAAGGTGGAAAGGGATCCAAGGGGAGGAGAGACTGTTTTTCCTACTTAAAATAACACACGGCAGAACGAGATGGGACAGGGGCAGGTGGGTGGGTGTGGTGGGGGAGGGAGGGGGCACCTGTGGACATTCCCTTCTGACTGCTTCAACAGTCTCAGTAAAATAAGAAGCAAAACACCTTCCCAAGGACTGCCCCAAACCTCCACCTAATTCTGAAACATAAACAGTACAGGATGGAACCTGGTAGGGTGAAACTGCAGTGTCCCCACGGTTATCATTCTTTCCGAGCCCCAGAGGCAGTAAGACCTCCAACAGAAGACTTCCGGGGCAGAAGCAGAGCTGCTGGCAGCAGCTGGTGGATCCCATCCCAGGACAGCCTCTCGTCCAGCACAGACTGCCCAGGGGTGCCTCGGGGAGGTTATTGCCATCAGACGGCTCATCCTTGTCCCCAGCTAAATGCAAATAAAACTTCTCTTCCAAGCAAAGTTGACTTTTCTCACCTAGACCTCTGTGACACAGTGCTATGTGTCTGCCTGGCTGGGCTCTGGTGCCCAGCTGTTGTTCAAATGCCAGCCCAGATGCTGCTGCAAAGGTATTTTTTAGATGGGATGACCAGGTAAAGTGGTATACTGTGAGTAAAGCAGAACATGGGTGGGCTCCTAATCATTAGGTAAAAGCCTTAAGAGCAATAGAGGTGGTCCCCAGTTTACGATGGCTTGACTGACAATTTTCTGAATTCACAATGGTGCGAAAGCGATATGCATTCAGTAGAATCCACACTTGGAATTGTGACTCTAGATCTGCTTCCAGGCTCCCAATGCGCAGTATGATCCATCCTCTTTCCTTCTCTCTCTCTCTCAGCTGGGTGGGGGCAGCACCACAGCTCCCAGGTAGCCACAGCCACAGCCACGTGCAGCCACAAGACTAGACGATCGATACACTTACACAACCACTCCTACCCCTGTGACCCTCGTTTCCCACTCTCAGTACAGCATTTGGGAAATCACGCGACCTGTTCAACATTTCATTATCAAACAGGGTTTGTGTGAGATGATTGTTCTCAACTGTAGGCTGATATAAGCATTATGAGCACACATGAGGTAGGCTGGGCTAAGATACAATGTTTGGCAGGTGGGGTGTGTTAAATGTGTTTTCGACTTAGAGTATGTTCAATTTACAATGGGTTTATTGGGATGTAACCCCAACTCGTAAGTGTAGGAAGAGCCATGCTGAGGTTCCAAGAAGAAGGAATTCTTGTCTCCAGGTCAACACAGAAGTTGGGTTTCCAGCCTGCAGACTTCAGACTCGAGGCCCTGCAGTCACTGGAGTCAATTCCTTAAAATAAATGTCCCCTCCCTGCACTCTCTACATACATCCTATTGGTCCTCCTTCTCTATAGAGAACCCTACTACAACCTTCCTTAGAAGTGTGCTGCTTTCGACTTAGGAGTTCATACTTGCATTTTTAAAACATGTTGGCCACTTGGGAACAGGCTCCCAAAGAGCAGTAAGTGAAATAACGATCAGTAATCATTTGCACATGTATGATTTTCAGTCTGTGATTTTACCCGTGGAAAGAGCTTGCTGCCTCTGAAAAGGGACACATTTAAGATAAAGACATTGAGGGCTTGAATCCTTCAGCCTTGGAGCCTCCTTCTTTCCTATTTGAACAGCACCACCTTGTGGTAAATATGAGTAAGAGCAATGGTTTCTTGTTCAACTAGTAAGCTTCGTGGTAATGATTCTGTTTTGGAAAACTTACTCTGCACCAAGACCTCTGGGTTTTAGGGATGTGAAGCCAGAATGAGCAGACAGTACGTAGACAATTACTGCACTGGCACTCCATCCAGGACAATGGGCGCTACAGGGGCACTCGGGGTACACCTGCAGCAGAGGACACTTGCATGATTAAGGCCAAGGGAGGTGGATGCCTTCCCAGCAACGGGAGCAGCATTTGCAAAAACACCAAGGTGCCACAGAGTAAAGTACATCAGGATAGGTTCACTTAGCTGCTTATAAGGCTTCAGTGCACGTATGTGGGGGCGGGAGGGGCAAGGGTACCAGTGAGACATACAGATGGAGATAAACAGGATTAGCGGGTGAGGGGCCTAACATATTGTGTTGAGGGCTTTGAATGTGATCGGGCCAGTGGACAGAGAGCTCCTGGATGGTGGTAATTAGGAGACACGATCTAACTTGTTCAGGACAGGTTAAAAAAACTGCAGGTCAGGAGGGCAGGCTAGGGTGTGTCAGGCTCTAGTCTGGGAGAACCACCAGCTGAGAGGCACTTTGCAGTAATCCAGGGGAGGGAGTAGAGCCCTGTGCCAAAGACGTGACAAGAGGACCCAAAGATACATCCAAAGGGAGTCATGGGGGCTCACAGAGAAGAATCAGGTATGCCTCCCAAGCCAGTGCCTGGTGTACCCTGGTGGGTGGCACTGCTGTTCGCTGATGTGAACAGGATGGGAGTGGAGGTGTGACCTATTCATCTAGTTTGCGACCAGGGAGCTTGTCCCATGACCTAGAAGAGAAGCTGTCCAGGAAGCACTCACACATGCAGGTCAGGGGCTCAGGAGATCAAATCTTGAGCACCTGAGAATAACACAGAGAGAGAGAAGAGCAGAGAGCTAAAGACAGAAGTGATGTCAGAGGGGCATCTGGAGGGAGAGGCACCATCCGGGACAGGGAAGAGTGGCAATGGAGCAGCAGGATAATCAGACCCAGAATGGTCCTGGGAGCGTGAGAAGAGTGCCTCAGGCAGGGCTCATTAGCACCTCCAGGTCCACAGAGCAAATACAGAGGAATGGTGGCATCACCAAAGTAGACTGGGGTGTCTTCAAGTGTCTCCAGCAGGTTGGGAGGCATAGGAAAGGGGAAAGCCTAGCTGAGGAGGAGAGAGGAGGCCAGTAGCTACAACAGAACTCAGGGGCAGGGGGAGAGATCATAAAAAGAGAAACGTGGCATGCTCAGAAATGGAGGGAATTTCCTAGTAGAGAGAGGATGGCAAACGTGGGCGTGAGCTTATTAGAGCTGAGCTGTTAGGCTCTTGATCGCTGGGCAGCTTGGTCTCTCCTATTCTCCACTTCTCTAGGAAAAGGGAGAGGCCACCTAATTCCCAAGTATGCGAAGTCCCAGGATAACATCTGTAATGGACACTGCAGATGATGTCGTGACCTATAGGACTTCCGGGGAGAGTGCGAGCACCCTTCTGTTTCTATGAGGGGTAGATGCCGTCCACTGGGAGACGGCGTCCTCTTATACTAGACTGCAGATTTGCTCATCCAAAATTCACTCCACCTTCCCATTAGTGGACCTTCCTATATGTCCTGTAGCACAAGTGCTGAATTTCCTCGGCTCCCTTGAAGGTCAGACTCCAGGTATAATTTAAGTTCGGCCAATCAGATGTACTTACATGTCGGAGCCAACTACGGAGAGAGGCAGAGCGTGAGGCTCTGCTCCAGCAGAGATGGTGTGACTCAGGAGCTGGCAGCTTGCTGATTTGGCAGGAGCTTTCATGGCAGAAGCCCAGCTCCACTAGACCAATTCTGCTAAGTGGTGCTAGTAGGTATTCCTAGAAACTCAACCTAGAGTCTAGCTCTTCAACTCTCTAATGATACTGTAAATCCTGTAATATCCTTGAATGCATATCCTTCTGCTTCAACTAGCCAGAGCAGATTCTGTTCTATTCAACTCAACTGCAACAGATACAGCATCCAAATTCACAAGGCAGTACAGGAGAGATCTGCAGCAAAACAGGACCTGCCACCTGTTTGTAAAAAAAGTTTTATTGGAAGAAAGCCATGCATATTCACTGATGTGTTGTCTATGGCTAATCTCATGCTAGAGAAGCAGAGGTAAGTAGTTCCAACAGAAATTGTATGGCCCATAAGAGCCTACGATATTTACTGTCTGGCTCTTTCCAGGGTGAGTTAGCTGAACTACAGCAAATTCCCTCAACTACATATAGCACGGGAGTGTCAAGCTCCATCAGGTTGCCAGGATGCAAAAGAACAGACCTATGCCAGCTGGAAGAGGAACATGTGGACTTTTCTTTGACTTCTTTACATGGGAAATATTTTTGAATCTCACTAGGGTATTCAATAATTTCAGGGATACAATAAGTAGAATTTGAGGCCACTTGATCTTACACTGAGATAACATTATTGACAATCAGCTGTCATGTATTTATATTCTTCATTAGGGGTTGCGCAGAACCCATAAGGATGACAAAGGCCGACATAAATAAAAGGATTAACGGTCAAATCCCCTCATTCACATTTCTTAGAATATGTACCACCCACTGATACCTATTTACAGTCAAAGTAAACCAGTGCCTGCATTTTTTTCATTTTAGGTACCAGGGTTTGTATTACAAAGGTCAGGGTTATGGGAGCCTCACTCCCTGTACCTTTGTGTCAGAGCACTAATCACAACTACAATTAACAATGTGTATGATTATCTGCTTAGTTTCTCCTTTTTCCCACTAGAATGTAAACTCCACCAGAATGACAACCAGATCTGTCCTATACACCACTGTTATTTCCAAGGTCTAGAGCATGGACAGCAGTCAAAAATACCTTCCAAATAAATGAGACAGTGTTCCAAATATAAGACTAACACAATCTTTTATGTTTAGAGAGACAACTGAACCGAGAGGTCCTCATCATCATCACTATCACATAAATTACTGACTTAATCAGAATAGGATCTGGCCAATCCAAACATACTTTGTTGGATTTTTTAACTGAACCATTATGTTACTATAAAAAAAAAAAAAAAAAGACGTGAATATAAATGTGGTACATTCATGTTAAGACACAGCCCAAGCAGCATATTTGGCAGAAAGCACCTCCTTTTTCCTCCAGGTTAATTATTGCTTTTTTGGATGCCCAGAATACCCTGTTCGCATTTCTTAGACTATGTATCACCTAGCATTCTGATTTTTTTGCTGGCCTGGGAGGTACCTCCTACCTCATCTACCCATACCCCAGACTTCATTATGGTCAGAGGCACCATCACTTGCCCAGTGACCACAGCCAGGAAGTGGAGGCATCCCTGACACCTTCCCCTTCCTCTCCTACACTTTCACTTCTGAGCTATCCCCACGTCCTGTCTGTTCAACTTCCAAAATACATTTCAAGTTCTTCTACTTTCCCTCTCCACCACACTTTCGCTAGGGATCAACATCTTTCTACTACACTGCTTCCCACTTAGCCTTGGTATGTGTTCTCCCGGTCAGTCTGACCCTTCCTCAGTCCAGCAGCAACAATGATCTTTATGAATACAACCATCTGGTCACATTACTCCCATTTACTGCTGTTAGAATAAAAAAAAAGTTTTAATTATGAAGGTATCAGGTATACTGCATTATAATTCACTTCAAAGTGATCACCCCTGAAAGTCTAGTTACTGCCCACAAAATTTCTTAATATGGCAAATGAGAAGCTTCAGCTCCAACCTCATTTCATGTCTTTCCTCCCTTGCTCTTGCTCCTCCAGCAACCTACACATGGCCCTTTTTTTTTTTTTTTCTTTTTTCAGTTCCTTAAGCTTGCTTAGCTCTTTCCTGTCACGGGATCTATGGGAACATATTATTGCAATTCTGAAGTCTGAAGTATAAGACTATATATATTTTTTAAAATATTTGTTTGAGAGAGAGAGAACAAGAAGCAGGGGGAGCAGCAGGCAGAGGGAGAAGCAGGCTGCCCGCTGAGCAGGGAGCCCAATATGGGGCTCGATCTCAGGACCCTGAGCCAAAGGCACATATTTAACCAACTAAGCCACCCAGGCGCCCAGGACTGTATTTTCTTATTATTAGAGAGCATGTATATAGTATCATAGGCTAGACAAAATTCTATTGGAGGTAAACAATCAAAATGTCCAAACCCTAGGGAAAGACAACATAAACTATGCCACAGTGTTCATACAAGTGGATCCTATTAAATCATTAACAATGTTTCTTAGAAATACTTTGAGAACCAGGGAAAATGTTTCCATGATAAGTGAACAAAAGTAGACTGCACAGTCTGGTCTCATAGACAGTATGATCTCAGCTTTGTAAAACTGGCTGTAGAGAAAATAGATTGGGAAGAAGTATACCAAAAAGGTAATACTGGTTATCTGTGTCCAGGGAATGTGTGAATATACATGTAGCTAAATGCATCTCTCTATATATATCTTCTTCTTCTATGATGATACTGCAACCTGGAAAAAAAAGTTTTTTACTAAGTAAAAAAAAAAGGTTTTCCAGGTTTTTTTATTTTAAATAGAATTAATGTTAACTTGATGCCCAGACAGTATATTCCTCATGTGCCGTATCTGCACATCCCAGATGGCTTTAGCCCAACTCCATGATTAACTGTTTGATCTCCTGAGTTTTAATCTATATACAAACTTCCTAAGCGTCCAGGTTTGCTAATTCTAAATGCAAACAGGGTTCCTCCAACTTTCTAGTTTATTGTAAAGCACTAGAAGGCTGAATATGTACCTCCCTAGTACCTAAGACAGGTCCTCAAAGCAAGTAAATGTATGGTCATTTAGATAACAAGAGAAACAAACACAAAAACTTTGACTTCTGTGAGGTATAGGAACAAAAATACACACACGGATCTTCACAGGCACCCGGTTTTTCATCCGTGGAGCCTCCTTACTCCACCGCTGGGAAGCTCCCGGTGAATGAGTGGGCTCACCATACAGCAGCCTGTGGCAGGTGTCCTGATCTTAACTTCACTCCTGGCTTCTCCTTAACTGACCTGCTCTTATCTCCAATTTATTTCAAATGCCCTCATTTTAAATGCTTATTCGATTTTCTATCATACATATTTATTCAAGCACCTGAAATCTCAATTCTGAAATGAGAAATTCTTTTTCTTCTCTTTTAAAAGAAGGGAAGGTAGTACACATGCTACTAATAGCATCAAAGAACGAGTTCCTTGAGAAAAAAGTGAAAAAGCAGCATTATAAACAGTCTGCTATCCCTCAAAAGCCTTTCACAAAAAATACTGTTTTTCACTTTAATCCTTGCATACTTTAAAAAGAGAACTGAATTTTGCTATAAAATCTTGCTATTCTGCTAGCAACTTAGTCACCATACAACTCAAACCTGAATAACATTCCCTGAACAAGCGCCTTCATTCTTCTTCCCATTAAAACTACCTATTCTTGGTGCCATTCAGAAACAATCTCCAAGTGAGAGACTATCCCTTCCTAATGAAACAATGGAATTGAAAAAAAAAAAAAAGGAAAAAATGTACTGCACACTCTTTTGGGTAAAATGACTGTTTTTCTTTCATTTTCTATATTTAAAGGGCAAATCTTCTCCAAATCAGGAAGAATATTTTATCAAAATGCTGAATGTAAAAGCAAACTATATGTCTTATCAAAATGAGGCTCAAGACAAAGACGGTTGCACATTTTTAATATTGGAGAACCCTAGACACCAACAATGATTTACAGGTGCCATAGGCTTTGTGGAATACTAGAGAATAATATTCAGTACCGAACAGCAACCTGAACCAAAGGGCAGTAGTAGCAAGGGGCTGTTAAAATCTCAAAAAAGGCAGGAACCCCTGAGATGGTATTTCAATAGGGAAGCGAGCAGAGTGAAAGTGTAAGCCTGTGATGGTCCAGGCTAGGCCCACTACAGGCAAAAAAAAAAAAAAAAAAAAAAGAAGAAGAAGAAGAAGGAGGAGGAGGAGGAAGAGGAGAAGGAGAAGAAGAACAGCAGGGATCAATGGTGCTAGTGGAGTAAGCAAGGGGGAAGGTGAGAGAGATCAGAGAAGTTCTTGGAGGTTAGATCACAAAGGGCTTTGAAGCCATCCTAAGAGTTTGTTTTTTATGATTCTGATGAGAAGCTGTCAGAAAGTTTCAAAAGGAAGTGAAAGTTCTGATTATATTTCTTAAAAAAAAAAAAGTCACTGCTGTTTGGAGAGAGAGCACAGAGGAACAAGGACAGAAGCAGGAAGGCCTAATCAGAGACTTACAGTCATCTAGGTAAGAGGGAACCAGAGTTGTTAGAGAGGGGTTGAGATGTGGTCAGATTTGAGAGATCTTTTCAAGGATTGAAAGGAGTTTCAAGAGTTAACAGAATTGGCTGGATGCTTGGATGTCCGGTCTGAGCTAAAATGATGCCAATGCCGGTCACCTCTACTGTGATAAGATAAGGTCAGTGAGGGAAAAGCAGAAGGGAGAACCGGGTGGGTGTGGTATCACTGGACATACTAAACTGAAATGCCCATCAGACCTTTAAGTGGAGATGCTGAGCAAACAGCTGGAAACGTGCATCTGGAACTCAGGACAGAAGTTAAAGCTAAACATTTGGAAGTCACCAGCTTAGAGATGTCCTATTTACAGCCGTGGAACGGGGCTTGGGATGGAAACTGCCTTGGCAGAGAGTCCGGCTAGAAAGACAGTATGTCCAAGAACTGCGCGCCGTGGCACTCCAACTTCCAGCGGCTGAGAAAAGAAACAGAAACCTAGAGACACAGAAGGAGGAGCCAGGGAGATGGAAGGAAAAGAGGGAGAATGTGGTGGCCTGGAAGCCAACAGAAGAAAAAAATGTGGAAGATGAGGGAGCAGCCACCTGTGGCCTGTTAGAAGAAAACCTGCCCTGACCCCAGACTTCCACAAGGGCCTTGGGGGGGATGAAGACAGCGTGAGACAGAGGATGGAGGATGGGGGGAAGGCGGGAACTACAAACTTGGAAGCAAGGCTTTCATTTAAAGACCTGATTTTTGTTTTGTTCTTAAACAGAAGTGAGCAAAGAAATGGGTGGGACCTAGAAGGGGCTGTCTGGTCCGGGGGTGTTAAAGACAAGAGATAGATGTATTAGCAGGTATCAGTTCAATAAACAAGAACACCGGGAGGGGCAAACGACAACGGACAAGGTGCCAATGACCCCGCGGCCTAGACACAATTTGTGTTCCCAGATCCACAGGGGTGGGCAGGTGACACTTACTGCGCTTCGGAAGGAGATGACGTAGTTTTCATCTGCTTTTTCTGAGATAAAGGAGACAGAATACGGAGTTCCTGAACGCCACTTATAATCAACACACTATTGCAAGTCTTAAAATGCACCATATCTTTAAAGATTATTTTTTATTTTTTTAGTGACTGCCTAAAACCCAGCTCACAGCGGCCGGCCCCAAATTTGCTTTTAACCAAATTAGCTTTTGGCCAAGATGCCAAAGACAAAAACCAAAACCGAAAGTTTCAGCACTGGCTCCCAGTGTCCCGCAGACGCTTCACGCAGAACCTCTCGGCCACTTGCTTACGTTCGGAGGTGGTTTTTCCCCAGAAACAGGTTTTCTGGTCAAAGGGAAACCTACGAGCAAAGCAGAAGGCTGCCCGGACTCCCCCTGAGGAGGGAGAGGGTCCGCCGGACTCAAGCCCGCCGCAAGCCCGCCGCAAGCCCCGCCGCCGCTCCCGCCCGGGAGCCCGCTTACTCGCCTGCACCGCGGAGGCCCGCGCCCAGGCCCGCGCCCAGCCCCGCGGCTCCCGCGTCTTCCTCTCCCCTCGGGACACCGCTCGCCGCGCCTTCCCCGAGACTGTGCCGGGCGCCCCGACCCCGCCCACCACGTGCCCACGCCCACCGCCCGCGGGCCGCCGGGAGGAGGGCCCCGCCTGGAGCGTAGGCCCCGCCCACCACGTGCCCACGCCCACCGCCCGCGGGCCGCCGGGAGGAGGGCCCCGCCTGGAGCTCAGGCCCCGCCCCCCGCGTGCCCACGCCCACCGCCCGCGGGCCGCCGGGAGGAGGGCCCCGCCTGGCGCTCAGGCCCCGCCCCCCGCGTGCCCACGCCCACCGCCCGCGGGCCGCCGGGAGGAGGGCCCCGCCTGGAGCTCAGGCCCCGCCCCCCGCGTGCCCACGCCCACCGCCCGCGGGCCGCCGGGAGGAGGGCCCCGCCTGGAGCGTAGGCCCCGCCCACCACGTGCCCACGCCCACCGCCCGCGGCCCGCCGGGAGGAGGGCCCCGCCTGGCGCTCAGGCCCCGCCCCCCGCGTGCCCACGCCCACCGCCCCCGTGCGCGGAGACTTCTGCGGTTAGGCCCTGGGATGGTCTCGAGGCCGCCGGCCCCGGGAACCCTGTGAGGCCTCTGTGCAGAAGGGAGGGAGGCCCGGAAGGGGCAGACGGCCGGCAGTGGCGCAGGGGACTGTCACCGAGGCAGAGGCACGCTCCCTGCGCTGCTGCTGCTGCGACGCCTGGGTTGGAGGCGGTGGGTGGGGTCGCCGCCAGTGTGTTTGCTCGGTACAGACTTGGGTGCTGGGGTGAGGGCTGCAGCCGCGGCTTCTCCGTCCCCGGCTGGAGCCCCTAAACCCTCAATGAAGATACCCCGGGCTTAGCCAGACCCGGGGTCCTGCCGCTCCCCCTGGCTTCTTCCCGCTAGGGCCCTTCTCTGAGGTCGTAGGCCACGTCCCTGGGCAGGGATGCGCAGCGCATCGAACCCTGCGAGAAAGCCACGCCGACAGTTTCCTCTCTAGGGCTCCTTCTGCCCAACCCAAGAAGACTGGAGTTCCGCCGAATAAAAAGGAAGAGCAAAAAGGCAATCAAGTAAAAGGTATAAAAAGCCTTATGAAGGGCAGCCCCGGTGGCCCGGCGGTTTAGCGCCGCCTTCAGCTCAGGGTGTGATCCTGGAGACGCGGGATCGGTCCCAGGTGGGGCTCCCTGCAAGGAGCCTGCTTCTCCCTCTGCTTGTGTGTCTCTCTCTGTGCCTCTCATGAATAAATAAATAAAATCTTAAAAAAAAAAAAAAACCAGCGGGGGGGGGAATCCCTGGGTGGCTCAGCGGTTTAGGGCCTGCCTTTGGCCCAGGGCGCGATCCCGGAGTCCTGGGATTGAGTCCGCGTCGGGCTCCCTGCATGGAGCCTGCTACTCCCTCCGCCCGTGTCTCTGCCTCTTTCTCCAAGTCTATCATGAATAAATAAAATCTTAAAAAAAATTAAATTCATCCAAATTTTGCATTGTTCTTCATATTCACGTGGTGTGCGAAGAAAATATGTTAAATTGGTTATGAGTTTAAGTACTTTAATTTTCTTCCCAAATTATCAAGTATACATTTCAGGAAAATGCACCGATCATTTATGCCACAAATATTTGGTATCATCTGTGTGCTCAGCAGGAGGGATATAGTGTCAAGAAAACACATGTGGTTCCAGTCCTCATGGAGATTTTGCAGTCTAGTCCAAGACAGACATGAGAACAAGTAAGGCAACTTAAGATCCATTCATTGGTAATGATGAATGAATGAAATAAGCAAAGTGGGGAGAGTGCTAATTAAATGAGAGAAGAGATGGTTTCTGTGACATGTAAAATGTTTTTCCTGTGGCTTCACACCGTTGAAATGCTTGGCATTAAATGCTGCTGTTTTCAAGGTCTTGAACCTCTGACTTCTTTAGCTTACTCTACCATTTCTCTGGATATCTAACATATGCTCAGCACATGCACACATAACTCAGTGAAGGTAGAAATGACTTGAACATGATTAATGAACTTGACCTGATTGACCTACATTTAAATTATAGCATCCAATACAATTTCAGAACACGTATTCAAATACACAGGGAACATTAACAAAATCAGACATTAACAAAATTAGACCATATCTCTGGCCATAGGGCACATCTCAACAAAGAAAAATCAGAACAAATAAAAAAGAGTGAAATACAGAATTATGTTCTCTGACCACCTAGGTATTAGTGTGAAAAACAAAAAGGTAACTAGAAAAATCCCTGTGTTTAAAATTAAACATTTCAAAATAACTGATGGGTCAAAAAATCATAAAATATTTTGGTCTGGATGTTACTAAAAATACTATATATCAAACCTTGTGGGACATAACTAAAATATATAACTAAAGGGGAATTTCTAGTCTTAAAAGTACATATTAGAAAAGCAAACCCAGAGAATCAACTATCTAAACATCTATATCAAGAAGTTGTTGGGGGGGGGGGGACAGGAAATGAAATCCAAATAAAGAAAAAAAATGGAAATAATGAAAATAAGACCAGAAATCAAAGAAGCAGATAAAAGTACCTGAGGATCAACAAGAGCAAAAGATGGTTCTTTGAAAAGGCTAATAAAATCAATAAGCTACTGGTAAAAAATACTCAGGAAAAAAGAGCAGAAAGGCACAAATAATACTAGAAGGAAAAAGGAAATATTGCTAAAGATCATAAGAAATTTAAAAGATGAAAGACATTAAAAATTTTATTCCAATCAACCTGGTAAAATGAGCTGGGAGAGATAGCTGTCATGTGTCTCTTGTATTCCCCCACGTCTTGCTGGGTACATCAAGAATGCAAGACCCTGACTGCTCTTTACCTGAACCATTTCCCAGGCTGCTGTTTTGTTTTTGTTGTTGTTTTTAAAGATTTTATTTATTTATTCATGACACAGATTGAGACAGAGGCAGAGACACAGGCAGAGGAAGAAGCAGGATCCATGCTGGGAACCCAACATGGGACTTAATCCCGAATCTCCAGGATCACACCCTGGGTGGAAGGCTTAGCTAAACCGCTGAGCCATCGGGGCTGCCCCCAGGCTGCTGTTTATAGTGAGCAATCTTGTGATATGTGGTGATGCCTACCTCCAGGACAAAGAACAGGTTTGCTTACTGCTTGCTATAAAAGTGGTAGGTTCCTCAAGTGGTGGGTTCCTCAAGCTCTGTGTTCCTCAGATATGACACCCACACAGTGCATGTGGAGCATCCACCTACACCTCTTCATGTCACCCCCACAGGACTTGTGAACAAGAACCACTGCAAATACACTGACAGTAGTGCTCTTTGCTGTGCCATGGGTAACCAAGTCCTTTGTTTCTGTTCTGGGAGTCTTGTGTTTTCTGCCAGCATCCATGAAACAGTAACAGGCTAATTTATTAGATGGTAAATGCAGTAAAATCAAATCCCAGACCTGACAAAATGGATAGGTGGGATTTTAGTCATGATGGAGTGAAGATGTCAAATCTCACCGCCCCACTGCCTGCACCATCAAAAAAAAGTAAACCGGAAAAAATGGTCAAAACAATCATCCAAGGACTCTGGAAATTGACCAAAGGCAAACAACAAATTGAGGATCACTTATTCATTTTATAAAATAAATCCTGAGAATTTTGGGCAGGAATAATGGGAGCCTAGGTATTTTGATCAACCCCTGCAGACTCCCCATTGGTGCCACATTGCTACCAGACTGAGGCTGACACTGAAAGCCAGGAGCTCCAATGCTGGAGAGAGCTAACTTGACTTGCCATGGACGGCAAAACAAAAGTCCATTCCTAATGGTGCTGGTAATAAAAATTGCAAAGTTGGGAGGAATAAATAAATAATCTCTGTCAACATGGAGTCATGGTCTCATTTGAAGTGAGCAGTAGACCAGTGGACTAGCCAGACATTTAACAGATCCTGGAAATGAGAGCCACTGAGGGTCAGGATAAGCTCTTCACATATCTCTGCATGACTGAGAGGCTACATATACATAAGGAGACACAAGCCTGTCCCTGTAGATACCTGCACCTCCAACCCTGGTTCTAGCGCTACTTCTGTGACTATCTGCAAACCAACTTAACTGTCTTGTGTTTCGGTTTCTTAATTGGTACAATGGGGGTCAAGCACTGTTCAGAGGAGAAAATAAATTATATAGCTTGAATGTAGAATATAGAACAGCAGGCACACGGCACCTGGGTGGTTCAGTGGTTGAATACCTTTGACTCAGGTCTTGATCCCCGGGTTCTGGGATCAAGTCCCACACTGGGCTCTCCACAGGAAGCCTGCTTCTCCCTCTGCCTGTGTCTCTGCCTCTCTCTGTGTCTTTCATGAATAAATAAATAAAATCTTAAAAAAAAAAGAACAGTAGGCACATAGTATTACAAAAGAGTTTACTATTCTCAGAATGTAGTATAACAACAGTTCATCAGAATCCTTGGGGAGATTTCTATGATTCATTCTAGAACTACTGTATCAAAGTCACAGGGACTTTCCTCAGGAAGGAACCTGCGGAAAATCAGTATTTTACAAGTAGACTAGTTGATTCTTATATCATAAGTGTTTGAGAACTACTACTTTCAGGTAAGATAACTTTTAGAGTCTGTGCCCAGATGCCGTGAGGATAGAAATGATCATATTTATGTCAGGACCCCCATTGCCTAGCACACAGTAGACATTTAGTCAAACATCTATTGAATGGTAGAAGTTTCATGTAAAGCTAATCAACACTCAGCCCTCCAATTCCCACAATGCAAGATAAATAACAAATTGGGTGTAGAATTTAAATCTTTTTATTATATGAGAAAGCTAAAATTACTAATATCACATAGAGCAGTGATTTTTTAAATCTACTTGAGTCACGGACTCCTTCCAGAATGTGATGTAAACCACAAACTCTCCAGAAGACTGAAGGTGTATGTAAAATCTTGTCAGTCATTTGAAGGGTAAATTACCCCAGGTCAAAAACCTCTCATATGAAAACTGATTTGTCTGTCTCCTGGAAGAAAACAGTAAGCTCTTGTTTATCTGTGAATCCCTATTTCTAGGGAAAAAGCATAGAACATACTTGGCACTGAATAAATAGTTCTTGAATGAATAAATGAGTCACTCGTTGATCAAAGGGTATGTGTCATTAGGGGGTCACCTG